TTTGTATCTTGGAGCATTCTCTTGTGATCATTCATGTTTGGACCAAGACTGGAGTTACTATATTGTTACCAGCCCAGACTCAGTATCTGTCCCGTTTCATTCCACTATGCTATAGTTTAGAATGTATTATTTGACCTGTAACTGATTCCTGACTATAGACTTAAAAACTGAAAGTAGATCAATAAAAACTTTGAAAATCTTAATATCTTGACTGCTTTCTCAATGTAAAAGTGGTCAGTATTTAGCCCAAGACTTGCATTCTAATGTGAAATATGGTATGAAAGACACGCCTACAATTTATTATAGAGGAGAAAGCCTGATGTCTCTATCGGCTGTATCTCGCTTTACTTTTTGCAAAAAGATCTTCTTTTTAAGAAATGAGCTCCTTCTGTGTTTGACTTAAAAACTGTCTTAGATGCTTCATCAGAGCCCCCCACTCTGCCCTAACCCCCTTTGCTCACTTGCAGTCTTTGAAGCCACCCTGGGAGGCAATTAAGCTATCCTAATGTGCCTTTCTTTCTACTTTCTTTAGTTTTGGCTCCTTCTTTGATTCTGTGTGGTTGCCTGATCCAGTTACTCTTGCTTCCATCTTGACCAGGTTGACAAATGGCCAACCAGAAATTTGATACTAATTTATAGTTGTTATGGATCAATTGAGGTTCTTCTTCATTAAAACGCGTATGTCTAGAGCAATGTTTTTCAAACTGTTCCATGAAACAGATTCATGAGGCATTAAGCAATATGAAAAGAGAATTCTTGCCCGGCCAGTGTGACTTACTGGTTGAGCGTTGACCCATGCACCAAGAGGCCTCTGGTTCCATTCCTGGTCAGGGCACATGCCCAGGTTGTGGGTCCAATTCCCAGTGGGGAGCATGCAGGAGGCAGCTAATCGATGTTCTCTTTCATTGATGTTTCTATCTCTTCCTCTCCCTTCCTCTCTCTCTAAAATCAATAAACAACAACAATAAAAAAGAGAGAGTTCTATGGTCAAATGGTGTGGAAGTCCCAATAAATACTATTATAAGCTCTGAGAATTCTTGCAGAAATGAAACCTGTCAAATTACTTGTGTTTGTTTTTCTAAATGCAGTTGTCCAGGGAACTCATTCTTTTTGGAATACCTAGTCATATCTTAAGATTCACCAGTTTTGTATGGAAGACTTTTTTGTAAATTATGTTCTTAGAACTTGAACCAGAAGTTAACAATTTTCCTGATCCACATCTTCAACAATAAGTTTTTAATAGATTAATTCTGAATTAAACAGTGGGTCATCAACATTTGTATTATGTTAGATAAAAATCATATAATGTCAGCCCTGACCAGTTTGGCTCAGCGGTTAGAGCGTCGGCCTGCGGTCCAGAGAGACCCGGGTTCGGTTCCCGCTAAGGGCACGTACTTCGGTTGCAGTTTGTCCCCGGCCCTGGTTGGTCGTGCGGGTGGCAGCCACTCGATGTGTCCCTTCACGTCGATGTTTCTCTCTCTGTCTCCCTTCCTCTCTCTCCCTCCCACTCTATCTGTACAAAAAATGGAAAAATATCCTCGGGTGAGGATAAAAAAAAAAAAAAAAAATCATATAATGTCAAAGGATTATCTAATTAAACCCAGACATTCAATTAATTAAAAAAAAAAAAACTTGACAGGAGGTTATAAATGCCTAGAAATACAGAACTCTTAGTGATATGAATTAGTTCAGTTACTGCTATCTGGGTATTGCCCATTGATTTTCCCATTGTGTGTGTGTGTGTGTGTGTGTGTGTGTGTGTGTGTGTGGTTTGGGTTTTAGTATGAAACTGACACCAGGATAGCCTGGCATATTTTAGAAATTAATAAGATGTCCTGGCCTTAATATTTTGAGATTAATACATAAGAAGGGCAAAGTGTGGACATTTAACTTATCACTTTGGATATAGGTTTGTTGTTAATCATGGGAGTATCAGGATGTTGTAGTCCTGGCTGATTTGGCTCAGAGGTTAGAGCGTCAGCCCATGGTCCAGAGAGACTTGGGTTCGGGTCCCGCAGTTTGTCCCTGACCCCAGTTGGGTCGTGCGGGTGGCAGCCAGTGAATGTGTCTCTCTCACATCGATGTTTCTCTCTCTCTCTTCTTTCCTCTCTCCCTCTTGCTCTATCTGAAGATGAATGCAAAAAATGTTCTTGAATGAGGATAAAAAAAAAAAAAAAAAGATATTGTCAAGTATTTCCATAGTGTGGCTCTCTCTATATCACTAGTTTTTTTTAACTAATCTTTATAGATGAAGTCTTTTCATTCTTACCTTAAACTCGATGTCAGTTAAATTTTCATTTTATTTGTCTGAGTTATAAAAAACTTAATAGTGATGTACCTTTCAATATTTTAAAATTTTTATTTTTATGTTTAAAAAATTCCTACATATAAATAAAAAAAAAAAATGGGTGGCATTTGGGAATAATAGAATTTAATCAAATAAGTAAAATCATTAAATCATCATTGTATGAATATTGAATAGATAGATGGAATTGTACCATCCAAAATGAATTAAATAATTGCTATTTTGATATAAAGTTCTATTTAACAAGCATTTCTATATAAAAACTTCCATAAGTAGATTTTTATGACTAAATAGTAATAGGAGAATTCTATTTTTAACCTACCAGCACCTTCTGAAACCGTTCTTTCCTCTGATACCGCAAACATGTAGCTGTTTGAGACAGGGACACCAGTTCCCCGTGAAGTCATGCCATCGTTTTTCTGTATTAGCCCTTTGGTCTGGCCGCATTTGGAGAAACCGATTTCCCTCAACAGGTCAACTACCATAGCTGTTTGGAGAAGCAGTTTCACTCAATTAATTATATACTCAATTAATTATATTTTGTTGCCCTGCTCTGGTTGGTCGATCATTCCTGCTACTTAAGAGGAACAGTAGTTTTACCTCAATGTAGAAGTGCCTCGCAGTGCAGGAAACGAAGGCAACAGCGAGGATTGACCAGCTGTGGCAACAAGCTAGGGCTCCACCTTGGAGGGAACCGGGCCGACGCGGCCCCTTCACACTCGCCCTCCTTTCTGTGAGCTGCAAGTGTGATCCCAAGTGGAGGAGGCTGCTCAGGGCCGCGCAGACCAGCCTCTTGGCTGCCTTTCCCCCTGTTGCTTTGAGCCAAACCCATAGGTGAGATCAATCACCTGCTCCAGACAGCCGCTCCCCACAGCCTGCCGCAGAATTAGCTTCACGTTAATGTGCTGCTTGGGAGGGAGGGAAGAAAAAGAGCACCTTGTTTCTTAACGAGAACTTGAAATGGCATTCCTTTAACAAATATGATGGATACATGCTCTGAAACTGTTGTGACCCTTATGCTTCTAAAACTGACTAGGGAGAGAGACATGGAAGGAATGGGGAGGGAGGGACTTACATTCTTATAGTGTATTTTTAGGTTTGAGATCGTGAAAGGACAATGATCATTTGCCAGACCCGATCATTAAGGAAAAACCTAGTCACATCCCACCTTACATTTTTTTTCAGTCAGGTAAAAGTCATTTTTCTTTCTCTTCTTCGAATAATTCTTCTTGAGATGGGACCGAGTTTCATCAGTAGCAATTTTAGATTTACAGCGAGAAAAGCTGATATGTGTGATTTGGCTATGTTTCCTGTGACCAGTTTTTCTTGTTTTATAAAACTGTCCCACTCAGAGAGGGCAATGGCTCCATTCGTTGTAAACAATCGCTTATTCCAGCTAAGTTTGGTCAGGTGGAGATCTGAATTGTAGGGCACTGCCGTTCCTGTTGTCATAGAGTCAGAAAGTGTCCTCAGTGAGGTGGAAACAGGACCCGAAGCTGCCACAATAAGGGGCTATCAATATTTTAGCTCCCTCTTCATTTCATTTTCCAGTCCTCCTCCAGTCTGCTGTATTTGTTAGGCATTCCCTAATTCTGCCTCTGTCTTAAAAAGCCACTTGACCTCAGATGTAGAAAGCATCATTTAATTTGCATTGAATTCATTTCAGCCGATTGTTTTGCTAGTTACCAAAGGAAAATTCCAACTTAACAAGCTGTCTGGCATTTCCAGAGTATTTTATTATGACACGCTAAATGATAATGAACATATGCTCCATTAATTGGGCCTGGTGATGAACAAAGTAAATGTTCAGCCTTTCTTTGTTAATCAATAAGCAAATGTAAGAGTCTCTCAAACTAGTTAGAGCTCCTGCTAGCTAGCACACACAGTGTCCTTGTGAGAACTGCGGAAGGGCACCCCTCTGGGCAGACAGATTGCAAAAGGTATCTTCCCTGGGCAGAGCAACTTGAAAAGAGGTGCCCCTTCTCCCAGGGCGACCTTGGTGCCTTTGGCTGGTTGAGTGGGAGCTGATGGTCCCATTCACTCCGGGTCCTGACCATGTGCAGGCCATGGCCTGCATCACAATCCCAGCAGCCCTGTGCTTTAGATAAGAAGGCAGGATTCCATGTGGCCTTTACCCCTTTCTGACTTCAAACCCTGGAGGGTTTCTTGTTTTGTTATCAGAGTTGATGGGAGTTAATCCATTCAGATGGTAGTGATGCATGAGAAGGAGGGACAAAGAATTACTATTTGATTTTAGGAGAAGCAAAGTGAAATGACCTCAGTGAGTTCAATACAGCTTTCTTTTTCCAGCATGCACTGATAATAAATACATCACTGACTCTTTCATTAAAGAGGAAACTCATTTCCTGGACAGCAATCCAAAGATTCATTTGGAAAGGTTTCTTCATCTTAAAGAATTCATTGTAACTTTATCACCACATGACTGCTCCTATGGCCTCTGGGTATGTAGGAGCAGTCATTTGATAATGAAGTGCATATATGTGACACTTTTTTGGTATGTGTTATTTCTTATCATAATACATAGTAACAAAATTAAGTAACCATTATGTTTTCTGCTTTAAAGTGTCAGAAACTGCTACCATGCCAAGAAAAAGTATTACATGCTTTCCCCCGACACTCCAAACTGGAAAGGAATAAATAACAAAACTTAGGGCTTTTTCTTTTCTCTTTTTAGGTGATGTATTCCACATCACTGCTCCCAATAAATTCACCTATGAGGAGGCTGAAGAAGAGTGTGAAAACCAGGATGCTCGGCTGGCGACCGTGGGGGAGCTCCATGCAGCTTGGAGGAATGGCTTTGACCAGTGCGATTATGGGTGGCTGATGGACGCCAGCGTTCGCCACCCTGTGACTGTGGCCAAGGCCCAGTGTGGAGGTGGTTTACTTGGGGTGAGAACCCTGTATCGTTTTGAGAACCAGACAGGCTTCCCTTCCCCTGATAGCAGATTTGATGCCTACTGCTTTAAACGTAAGTGTTTGATACCTTTTTAAAAGTTACAGATTAAAAGTAAAATACTTCGAAGGCATGCATTGATGTCCAACTAGCAGTTGGAAAGGATTCCATATTTTGAAGTGTGTGCACGAAAGGAAACAGTTCAGTAACTTTCAAAAGCACGCAAACGAACCAGCAGTGATATGTTAAAACAACGGGAAATTTGACAAATGGTTTTTTAAAGGGGATGAGGAAATGTCATGTTAAGGTCTTAACTCGGTCCCATTGCACCACAGAACATATATCTGAATTGTTATTTTATATTAATTACAGCCCTTAAATGCAATTAGATAGTTGGTGCTATAATGCTGAGGCCAACTGTGGCTGAGTTGAGACCTTGAATTCTATTTCTTTTGTCTTTGTTTGGTATGTCTTTCTTTGAAATGGCGGAGAATTTAAATTTCAGTAATTGCAGGTGAGTACTTGGAACTGACATGGATAATCATAACGTTCAATTAATACCTAAAAATGAACATGCATAAATAAAAATCTTCTTTTATCTCCTTTTGTTTCAAAGTAAAAGAAATGTGTCTTCTAATAATAAATTCTCTAGTATCATATTGACACACAATATTTACTTTTTGCTATCTTAATTACCTTTACTACTAAAAATGGTTTTAAATAACATTTTTCAAATGACCTTTAATTATTTTATCAATAGTAGTCTCCTGGTACAGTGTCATACTTGTAGAATGTTTAATTAAACAAGCAAGTAATCTAGAGTCTGGTGATATTTACTGTTGGTCTATATCATAACAGCCAAAAAAAAAATCTCCTAGAATTTTGGGTGACCTTGAGTTATGTTTAAGATAGAGTCATGATATATTGAAATACAGTGAAAAGTTTTTACTAAGTTTCTGGTACATCTTGTTAGGCAGTATGTAACTGAAATGAGTAGAAAATAGCTTATTATGTAATTGGTTTCCAAAGTGAAATACACAGGTATTCTTCATCAACCAAAAAGACACAGCTGGGATATCTGAGTAGTCAGCAGAATAGATGTTAACGCAACGGAAAGGTGTGATTTCACCTACTGCTGCCTCCCAGCTGCGAAGCCTCTGCTTGGATCTCCTCCCATGAACTCAACTTTCTGAGTGTTAAGGCCACGTGTTGTGTATTTAGCGCAATACAAATGGGCCATAAAAAGCCATTGAAAATACTAGCTTTTGTTTCTAAACCCTGTAATAATAGAAACGAGTTTCTTAAGCATTTCTAGGAAAACAAACAAACAATGACAAAACCGTACCCCTAAAAGTAGAAAGATACTCATTCCTTTAAGCCACATTCTCATAACAGTGATTTTCAAGTAGTTCAAGCTCTATGATCAGTTTCACGTTAGGTGATTGGTATGATTAAGGAACAAATTAGACTGGTGTGTATTGGGACGAAGGGGTTAGAGAGGTTAAATTAGGGAAGAAGAAGAATTCTCCAACTTTACTACTTTGCTTGATTATCTATATTTCTTGTGCTTTATAAAAATGGCACTAGAATACTTTTAAACTATTTTTTCTCCCTGAGGGTAAAATTTAAACCAAGTCTTTCCATAGCCACAAAGAATTCATCCCGATGTGTTTTTTTTAAATATGTTTTTGTTGCTTTTTTAGAGAGAGAGAGAGAGAGAGATAGAAACATTGATGCGAGAGAAACACCAACCAGCTGCCCCCTGCACGCCCCCTACTGGGGATCGAGCCTGCAACCCGGGCATGTGCCCTGACCGGGAATCAAACCAGGACCTCTCAGTCCATGGGATGACACTCAATCCACTGAGCCACACCAGCTGGCAGCCATCCTGATATGTTTTAGATTATTTGTTTAAATGAGGAATTCACATGAATATATGAAATAAGGTATTTGGATTCAAACAGAAAAGGCACCTATTAAAACTCGATATAAAAATCTTTAAAAAGTTGGAAAGTTCAGCTCCATTGTTTTCTCTCTAATTCATTTGAACCTATTTAACTCAGAAATATATAACTTGCAAATATAATGGTTCAGATTTTGTTTTTTGAACCACCTAAGCTAGAGACTAGATTCTTATTTATTTCTTCCCTACCTAAGGCCCTATCATATTCAAAATCTATTCAGCACATAAAAAGCTTAGAATGTTTAGTCATAACACAAAAACCTTTCTTAAAGCACATGCAATCCAACAGTCTCCCAAATTTCTAATTTATTTTTCAAAAATTATTTTATAATACACAGAGTGTGGCAAAAATAGGATTATAGTTGTAAGTACGTGAGCACAGGAGTTTGTTCTTGTATTATTATTTATTATTGGGTTATTTTCTACATAAACAACTGTAAACCTACTTTTGCCACACCCTATGTATGTATATATTTTTTAATTTGAAAAGTATTCTCAAATGATTTGACTGCCATCCACTTTTCCCACATAGTTGAGTAGTGACTAAGTTCCATAGGGTAAATTTTGTAGGGTTGTGACCTTAGTGACAGTTCCACAGGTAATTTCAGAGATATACAATTGGTTGGTAGAGGAATTTAGAAATATAGTCATGTTTTTCTTGTTTGCTCTTACCAAACATAGTTATTATAGCCGCTTCTTGGTGAATGAACACTGCCCAATCTCACTTTGCTATAATTCCCATTTCTTTTTAAAATAATTGAATAGAACATTAATAATGGCTGATGATAAATATAATTAGAATCTAATCTTGTCAAATATATTTTAGAAACAAGTAAATTAAAGTTCGTGAAAGAAAAGGTTTTCTCTGTATTCTCCTGTGATGATGATTAAACTAAATTGAGCACCTTTGATTTTTATCTGACCTCAGAATTCAGCAAGTTCTGTGGAAGTGGTACAGGACTTTGAAAGATCACCCATACATTCCCAAACTGACTCAAAAGCATTCAACACTCATGATTCTGTCTCATTTTATGTTATTAATGATCTCCAAGACAGGGAGTAGAACATGTTTCCTAGAAAACCCAGTCTAATCTTATTACCATCATTCAGATAGTTTTTCTAATTATCTAAATCCATTGCACTCGAGTTTGAACCCATTTTCCCTTTTTAAGTTGGAGACCAAAATGGAAATAACAGTTATTATTTTTTTTTATTGAACACAATTGTTCAGTTGTCCCTCAATGTCTCCCTCAACTGAAACAATTTCCTACTTTTGAAATTTTAATGTCTAAGCCTCTAATTATCTAGGTGATCTTGCTTTGAACCCTCCTTATTTTTTTGTATCCCTATGTTTAAGCTTGGAACTAAAAATAGTGGCCTAATGAAGCCTAAATAAGTACCCACTGCTTTATATGCTGTTTCTTACATATTTGCTTACTTTTAAGTTTGGCCTGCCCTTCTAACCTATGGTCATTTTATCCTTTTTGTGCCCTGGATCATAACTGACCATAGGCATTAAAACGTATCCTTCCCTAACTGATATCTTTAAAATGTTTTCTGTTTATTGAGTGAATGCATGTTAGCATTCACTCATAAAACCTGTTTTAAAAGTCTGAATTTTAATCTCATTGTTTCAACCTTTACTTTTTCCCCAACTATGAACCTAGAATCAACTTATTGAATATCTACGTTATTTGTGAATTCCAATGTTTACAGGTATTTATGTATAAAGCATTTAATCTAGAAGAACTAATTTAAAATTAGTCATTTCCCTATAATTTAGGCCGTATGGGTATGAGTTGAATCGACTATCATGCTGCTAATAGGGTTTTAGTATTTCATTAGAAAAATCTGCCTGATGTCTTACAACAGAAGTACAGAGCAGATAGCCCAGAGGACATAAAATGCCCTAAGTACAGTGATGTGAAACATCTGCGTGGTAGACAGCTGCAAAGACTGGAAGGGAGCTTTTGTGGAAGAAGAAATATGCTGATTTCTGTTGGCTTCCTCAGTAATGAATTTGAGGGGACACGGGAAGTTTTCCAAGACAAAAACGGCTCCATGTGAACGCTTCTGCTGGAGTGACACCTTTATAATAATCTAGAATTGTGTTCTCCCCTTTTTAACATCATTAATGCAGTGACCTTATTCTTAAAATATCTCTTCATAGATATTTTTATTTTTAAAAATGATTTTGGAGGGTAGGGGAAATGGTTGAAACAAACGGCACAGATGAGGAGCTAGACTGAGTTAGGATGGAAATCAGCTGTTAAGTTGATGAAAAACCCACCCAACCCCAAAAGGAAGTCTGAGGTTTTCCATTCCAAATAGCATAATTAATTAAGTTAATTACAAGCAGACATTTTAACAGGGCTCTAAAGTTATTAAAAACCTATGTTTTTTTAAATCACATAAATCCTGGCTTTGTGAAGGAGATTCTCTGAGACATATTACAGTCATTTCACTGTGCTTTCTCCAGGACTAGATGAAGCCAATACCAAATGGTTTAGTAATAATTGACAATGACATAGTTATGTTTTTTTTTTTTTTTAAGAAATCTGAGTCCTTCATTTTTCAAACACTATAAAAGTGTGTTCACAGCATAGTAGACGTTGTCAGCACAGAACTTGTGTAGGAACATGAGGAGACCGGATTCACAGGCACTCTGTTAGCCCTAATGCAGTTATCACCTCCCCTCAAGTTAATTTCATCAGCCATGGAAATACTCAGAGGGCAAAAGCAAGGTCACCCTTTTTGTTGTTAACAATATGATTAATTCTTTTCTAATATGCAGTGTGCTAAGTGTTTATATTATGTTTCCATGGGAACTTTCTCTGTATGTACATTTTACTATTTCCCCAAAGAATGCAGTTATAAGACAAACATGATATTTGGCAGTTAAATGAGGTAATGGTTATGGAATTTCAGAGGATATAGAGAATTGAATTAAAAGAAAAATAGTCTCACTTTGGTTCATTGAGTTGCTCATGTCAACCAAAATAGACTAAAGCTTCTTCCAATAAATGAATGCAGAAAGAGCTTTTTTTTTAAAAAAAAAAAAAGAGAGAGAGAGAGAAAAGGCATTTAATATATTTTGAAGAGTTCAATTCTGTTTTTAAATTTAGTTTTGTTTGGCTACAAAAAGAAAAAACAGAGGCAGACTAAAGATTATTTAAATGTACTGTAAGGTAAATAGCTACCAAGTTTTTATTATAAACTTGCTTAATCTGGGCTATTATAGCTCAAGTTTGATTTACAACAAAATAACATCATTTTGTCATTAAAGTTTAAAAATTGATCTTATTTTTTTAAAGCAATTTTAGGTTCACAGCAAAATTGAGTGGACAAAGCAGCGAATTCCCATGCACGCCCTTCCCCTCCCAGCATTGCCGCCCCGCCATCGACATTCCCTCACCATGGTTACAGTTCCTAGACCCTGATGGACACGTCATAATCGCTCAAAGTCTATAGTTTACGTTAAGGTTCACTTTTTGTGTTGTACATTTTATGAGTTTGGACACATATATAATGACATGCATTTACCATTCTAGTATCATACAGAACAGTTTCACTGACCTAATATCACAAAGTTTTGATAGAGTAGATGGAGCTCAAAGGTATCCAATTTTGTTTTCCAAGAATTCCTATTTGGAGATTATTAAGAGTAAGACACAAGGCATTATAGATACTGTAGATATTACAACTCTTATCAGAGGGAACAGGCATTACCCATTCAACTAGTTTTAAGTTGTATAGGATATAGCAAAATGTTTTCTCAGAACAGTTCCTTCTGAGTTTAGTGGCACTAATTTTTGATTTTGGAAAGTGAATTTGGAGGGGAAAAAAACAACAAAAGAAAACTAAACCCAGAATTTTTATGTACTAAGCTGCTGCCTTTTCCCCTATGTTGCGAAGGAATCTTGTCTACAACACTGTCACTTTATACACAATTTAAATTTTTTTAAACAGGCCAAGCTGTTCTCTGTAAATCTGGATGCCTTATGGTGGAGCATTTTATGATGATGACATGTTACCTTTTATTGCCTGAGCCTATTCTTTCTGATGCTCAGGATTGTTTCTAGTGATTTGTAATTACAGACCTAAAATATATCATGTGGGTACTTTATTTCCTGTTCTATGTTTGTGTTTCATGCTAAAGTCAGCCTGGAACCAAGACCTTGAAGAGTTACAAACACAGTGTGTAGAACATAGAACAAAATGTAGAGCTACAACAAATGCCAGCAGACCGTGCCAGAAACATTTTATTGTTTATTAGAAACAAGGCTACACTAGAGTTGAAAGGAAGAGGAAGACAAATGTCCAACACCTGGAATCAAGTGAAGGGTGGTTTTAAAAAGTTTAATATCCTGTTTTTATGAAACCCTCCACATTATGGACAATGTAATAGTTTATGTGTAACTTGGGTACATTTGATGTGGCTTTTTGTTGTTTTGCAATCTGAGGCAACTCCCTCTCCCCTGAGACACTGTGCAGCTTGAGAAGGAGGGAGAAACCTAGAGGCAGGGTACAGAAGCTTCCAGAATAGTAATATGAAGTTCTCCCACTAGGCTTCAAGTTGCTGCTTTAGTTTCTGATAAATCACCCACCTATTTCCAAACACTGCATTTATAATTTTTGGACATCTCCTTATCTTAAAACTACATAATATTCATTTTCCTTAACCAAGAACAGGCATTCATACCTATGGGTAAAAGCAGTGATAACCCTTACACTATAAAACAAGTGATCAGTTGGTGACGATTAAATGTTTAATTGCCTTTGAGTTAATTTAAGTATAGTTTTTGACTCCTGTTCATCACCAGTTTTAGGTCACCCCAAAATACACAGCAGCACTTAACAAACACTGCACGTACAACTTTTTATTAGTGACTTGTCTAATCAACTCTTTGAAATTATTTTCTAGCTAAACAGAATATATCAGAGACTACAACCATCGATCTGAATATCCTTACAGAAACTGCATCACACAGTGTATCCAAAGTACTACAAATGGTACCTGACAGAACTACACCAATCATCCCTTTAACCACTGACTTACCTGTCATTACAACAAAGTTCCCTTCTGTGGGAAACATAGTCCATTTTGAACAGAAATCCACTGTTCAGTCTCCAGCTGTCACACACAGATTAGCCACTGAATCACCCATTCCTGCTGGGAGTACCAAGAAGCCTTGGGATAGGGACTATCACTCACCTTCTGCTTCAGGACCACTTGGAAAGCCAGACATACCTAAAATTAAGGAAGAAGTGCCCCAAAGTACAACTGTCATCTCTAGTCATGCTACTGATTCATGGGATAGTGTTGTGGAAGACATACACACACCAGAATCAGTTACACAAATTGAACAAATAGAAGTGGGTCCTTTGGTAACATCTATGGAAATCTCAAAACACATTCCTTCCAAAGAATTCTCTGTAACTGAAACACCACTTATATCTGCAGCAACCCTGGAATCCAAAACTGAAAAGAAAAGAGTAAGCACTACTTCTGAATCGGGGACCACAGCCCGCTACTTCACCTCGGGAGAAAATGGTGGCCAAGACGGAACATTTACAGTTAGAACTGACCAGAGCACCTTGGTCTTTAGCCAAATACCTGAAGTCATTACAGTGTCAAAGACTTCACAAGACACCACACTCAGTCAACGAGAGGATGCAAAGTCAGTCTCAGCATCAACAGTTGTCTCACCTGTACGTACTCCTGACAGCAATGGCATAATAGATTCATTTCCTTATTATGGTGATAAAAGATTAGCTGAGGAACTGTCCACAGTTATTTATCCCTCTCCACACACAGAAATGACACAAGAAAGACAAAGAACAGAGGGGAGAACAGATACATATACTAACGATGTGATACAGGAAAAGATCACCAAAGACCCACTTATAGGAGTAGTAGAGGAAGAAGGGTTCTCAGGAATGAGGTTCTCTACAGCTTCCTCAGAGCAAATTCACCTTACAGAGTCTCTGGTGGAAATGACCAAATCCTTTGATTCACCAGCACCGACAATGCCAAAGCCAAGTGTGGTGCCAACAGAGGCAAGGGATGTGGAGGAAGACTTGACAAGAACTCCAGTTGGATTAGAAACAGATGGCTATCGAGACACTACAAAGCATGATGAGGTTACTACAATGGTGCATTCGACCCACAGCACTTCAAATGTGGAAGTGGTCACTGTATCAAAATGGTCATGGGATGAAGATAATATGATCTCAAAGCCGTTAGGGTCCACAGATTATGCAGGCTCTCCAAAATTGCCCCCTGCCTTACTCACCACTACAGGAGTGAGTAGAAAGGATGAAGAAATCCCAAGTTTCACTCAGGATGGGGGAGATGAATTTACTGACACCCCAGATAGTACTCAAATGTCGTTAGAGAAGTTTACTAAGGAAGACACAACAGACCATGGGAAATTCACAGTTAGATTTCAGCCAGCTACATCTATTGGCATTGCAGAAAAGTCAACTTTGAGAGATTCTACAGCTGAAGAAAGAGTTCCACCCGTCACAAGCACAGAAGGTCGAGTTGCTCACGCAACCATAGGAGGAAGCGCTTTCGACGAAGGAGAAGATATGGATGTGTCTGAGCCTGTATCTACTGCTCCTCAGTTTGCACACACTTCAGATATGGAAAGACTGACATTTGTTAGTTATCGTGGTACCCAGGAGCCTACTACTTATGTAAACACTTCCCATACCATTCCTCTTTCTGTAATTCCCAAGACAGAATGGGGAGTGTTGGTACCTTCTTTTCCATCAGAAGGTGAAGTTCTAGGTGAACCCTCTCAAGACATACATGCCATTGATCAGACTCACCTTGAAGCACCTATTTCTCCTGAAACTATAAGAACAACAACAGAAATCACACACGGAACAGCTCAGGAAGAATTTCCTTGGAAAGATCAGACTCCAGAAAAACCAGTTCCTGCTCTCAGCTCTGTTGGCCCAGCCAAGGAGTCAACAACACATTTAGACGAACAGGAAAGCGATGGGTCAGCATATATTGTTCCTGGAGACAGATTGGGGACAAGTTCTGAGAGAGTCCCAATTTTAGACACAACTCTCTTTGGAAAAATTGAGCATACTATGTCTTATCCACCTGGTGCTGTCACTGAGCACAAAGAAAAAGCAGATGAAGTAGAAACACTAACACCAAGCATGGGGCCAAAGGTATTTTTAAGTCCAGGGGCTGAACAAAAATATGAAGCAGAAGGTACTAGCCCAAGGGGAATTGTATCACTTTTCAGCACCAGTGTTACCCAGCTTATAGAAAAAACCACTATTGAAAGGAGAGAGGAAACATCCTTAGATTATATTGATTTAGGCTCAGGATTACTCGAAAAGCCCAAAGCCACAGAACTCCCAGAATTTTCAACAATTAAAGCCACAGTTCCAAGTGAGATCACTACTACCTTCAGTTCAGTAGACAGACTTCACCCAACTTCAGCACCCAAGCCACCTTCAGCACCCACTGAGAAACCTCCTCTCATTGACAGGGAAGCCAGTGCAGAGACAGCCGGTGACATGGTAATCATTGCGGAATCAACGTCTCATGTTCCTTCCACTACCCTGAAGTCTACTGTAGCCAAGGAAATGGAAACCGATATTGATAGAGAGTATTTCACAACTTCAAGTCAGCCTTCTGTTAAACAGCCAACAAGACCACCCAGTGTGGAAGGCAGAGAGGCCTTCAGTCCTCAGGCACTGTCCACTCCAGAACCCCCGACGGGGACAAAATTCCACCCTGACGTAAATATTTATATTATTGAGGTCAGAGAAAACAAGACAGGTAAGTCTTTGCTTTCTAGACATACCAGTCAAGGCAATCAGCATTTTATCTTGAAAAATTACTTTTGGAAAAAAAAAAAAGTCAACATACCAAATGCTGCCATTAGAAGATAACTGGAGTGTGAAAAAATTCTGTGTTTTAGCCTCACAGATTTGTGCAAGCATTGGAAGAATGTGTTAAACAATTTGGAAGAATGTTAGATACAATTTTAAAAGTTTTAAGAAGCCCCGCTTTGTCATCTAATATAACCCAACCATCATGTCACATCACTTCAGAACATGCAGAACAAAATGTTTTAATTTCAGTGTGTTCCATGCATTACTACTCAAGTGTAGTACTAGACTGTTAACATTCCATTGGTCTTTAACTATTAACCTTCAGTACTTACATTGTGGACAGCTAAAACCATTTTCACATTCCTAGGGCTGACAGCAAGACATCTAAAGGTTTGCTATGGTTTTTCTTTTTCAGGATTTTGTAGGTTTATTCTATGACTTGTGGGGTGGGTGATAGGTTTGCTGCTTGAATGTTACTTCATGCAAGTTCAACATGTTTTTAAGCTGTTGTCCTTGGGTATTTTAATGATGCTAATATATAGAACAAATACGATCTAGCTAGGTTCTAGGCAATGCTATAATTCATGGTATCAAATATAATTTCAGAAGGTGGCTATGTCAGCATTACCTCTGTTCCCTAAAACCAGGCTATAATGTTATTATTTTATAATTTGATTGTTTCATCTATAGGAATATTTACAGTGCCTTCTGTTTTGCTTAAATATTTTATTTATCTCTCTGGCAAATGCTTAAAAGCTGTTGTTGTTGTTTTATTATTTTTTTACATTGATTAATACTTAAAATGTGCATTATCAAACATAACGTGTTCCGTTCTAAAGACCACACCATCTTTTAATTTTGGTGAGTTGAATTGAGACTGCATAGTGCATACAGTTCAATAGATCCATTCAGGTTTGTCTCCGTCTAAGTTAGGATTCAAGACCATTGATTTCAGTTAAGTTGCTGTACTCTAGTTTTAATATGTGAATTAAATTAATAGGTACTCATTTTCCCTTGACATGGCTCTGAGCCGTCGGGCTAGAATTTTTTTCCAGCAGGTTTTCTCTCTTACTGTTGGGATAGTCCCCTCAAGGTGTCGTTTTTCTTAAGAGCGATACTATCCTCATTAGAGTCCAGGAGGGCACCTGGTGGGAACACACAGGTAACTACTGTCACGTCAGCTGGCGTCCAGGGCTGCAGGTGGAAGTGCCGCAGCTTTCCTGTCTTCACAGCCTACCATCCAGAACCTTCTCAGCGTCCAAGCTCTGCCAGGGCAGCAGAGGTAGAGCAGGGACCACATTCCCAGAGTATGGATGGTAATCCTCACTTTCCAATACAGTGCAGAGGCCAGGACTGGAGCATTCTTCTCCTATGAATGATGCTGTTTCTTGGAGACCATGGCATACTTCCTACATTCTCTTTCTGCTTCTTGGAACTGGAGTTGGAGAGGGAAAATGAGTTGCCAAGTCGTGGGAATGAGGATTGCCATTAGTAGGCTTGGAAAAGTGAAAAGAAGGTATTAATATGAAAAAGAAAGAAGTGAAGTGAAAAGGAATTACTGCCAAAACTTAAATTTGAGAATTAAAAAAAGATATATTTGAGTGACTAACTGTGCAGTAGGTTTTCCCAATTTAGATCATTCTTGTATTAGTGTAGCTATTAAGTTGAATCAAATAATCTAGAAAAAAAGTAAAAAATGTTCTACATTTAAAAACTCTTCTAAGTGGGAAACTGTGTTAAAGTTGGAGTGATCAAATTACAAAATGGAAAAGTGAAACTCTATCTCCCTGAAAGAATTGGCAGTTACAGGGAAAAAAAACCCTGAGTTTATAAATGGTTACTCAGAATGGAGGGTCTGAGTAACCTAACCCAGGAACCATTTACACAAAGGTGCATATTTATGTTCGAGTTGTGAACTGAATTCATGTCTGGGAGACATGACTAGGTGTTTCCTCTTCTTTCACTTTCAAAGCATGGTACCAAGATTTGCCTTTAAACTAATTTTTGTTCAGCATCCATAACCAATGGTCAGAGCACTCCGAGGAAAGAGAATACTTAGTTATCTCATCAGGACAGGAGTCCAGTGTCGGCGTGGGTGGGGTGAGACTGTGTCTACCTAGTTTCCTCCCTCCAATTCTCTCTCCCTCTCCATCTCCCTCTCCGCCCCTCCCTCTCCATTCCTCCCTCTCTCTCCTCTAATCATTTTTGTGCAGTTTATATATGCCATTCTCTTTATGAGTAAAAGCGTTATTATTGTCTTATTAAGACAATGAGGTTAACTCAGAACCAACTGCTTACTTTTAGTTATTTTATTTGTTTTCTGGGAGAAATTTAATTTTTCAAGCATTTTGAACTTAGACAAAGGAAAGCCCTAAAGCAAATGTTAGATTAATGAGTTCTAAGGCAGGTGTACATTAACAAAGAAAAATACATATGTGCCTAGAAAACCAACCTTTTTATGTATCAAGGCACATTTTTCCAGACTGGAAAATCCTTGGTATATGTATGAACTTGTATAAATCTATTCACAAACCTAAAATTGGCCTCTATGTATACTGTATATCCAAGTAAGCAAAAATGCCACCCATGCTACGCTAAACCAAGATGTTCATCATTTTTTTATTTTTATTTTTTGCTGCACTCAGCAAGTCATATAAATCTTGATTTTGTTTTTTTACTACTATGAAACAAAACATGCTACTCAGGACACGTTTATGTTATATTTGTTCAAATGGATCTTAATAGCGACTTAGGGGGCTGTGGCTGGAGGGCAGCTATCGTTAGCAGGTAAAAAATCTGAAGGAACTTTTCAGCTCGTAAAAGTTTTATGAGCTGAAAAATGCTAAGGGGTGTATTTAACAGTGGTTCAGGGGATACTGAAAACATGACTCCTGTCTATTTCAGGAGTAATTTGCACACCTGCATTTTGAAAAATTATTAAAAGGTTTTCTTTGTGGATATCCATTAAGTCTACAGGGTTTAATGGTGTAGGAAGAGTTCCTTCAATTCTGGGCTTTTTTTTTTTTTTTTTTTAAAGAATGCTTTTTCTCTGAATCATCTGAAATGTCACACCTTAGTGTGTCAGAACTATGAATTAAAAAAAAAATGATATACTGAGTCTTTAAATCAAAGAATAACTTGGAAATATGCAATCATGATTATGCAAATGCTCACAGTTTTAACCTTAAAATAGGTGGTTTGTTAGGTTGTTTTTTTTTTAAAACAAGTTCATATAAACTACATACTATTTGTCAGGCCAGCCTGATGTTATTGGTCTTGTCAGATTTTTCTTTTTGCTAGTTTTATAATTTATATTAATCTAAATCTGAGTGTAAAATTATTAATGTAATGATATTGAAAATCAATGAGATCTGAAGTAAGATACTTTTTGGCCACTGAATCAGAATTTATTTGGCTCGGTTTCCTTATTGAGAATGATGCTTATATAATTGCTTACATCATTCAGAAATAACTCCCATGTGATGAATCCCTTCTGCATTTTTGTTTGTAGATTTGAGAAATGTACATATTTTATGCATATGACGGTGTTGAGGAGAAGGTAAAGAATTAGGGATGTTGGCTCTGAGAACAGGAGGTATGTGGGCAGATGCCAATATTTGTATTCGATTGCATAGTCGCCATTTTAAAAAGGTAATGTTTGTACAAGATAGTCTCATAAATTTTAATCATATATATTTTATCTGTAGAAAAATTATGTAAAAAATTACTTTTGTATTTTTTATTATCAGATTCCTTTAGTCGTTAAAAAATCTTATTCGAAACCTTCATATTTTGAGCAAGAATGACTGTTCTTATTAATATCTGAGAGGGGAGATAGGAGCCCACTGTCTTGAAGCCTCTTCCTAATGCCCTGTGGCAGTTTCTAAAATAACATGTGTCTAAATAACAGACTAGAAAGAGAATGATATTCTCTAGATCACTCAAAATAAAGCTGAAACAATGACAAATTCCCGAATGAATTCTATAAAAAAATTAATTGGTTTGATTATCAATACTTTCACCATAATGATACACACTTATTAATATTTACTTCTGAGTAACTCTGTATGATGCTAAATAAAGCAAATTAAGCAAATCTAGTCTCAAGCAGATTGATCCTATGTGAAATCAAGATAATATCTAGCTACATTTCAGTTGATATTCTCAGACTACGTTTTACAATGTTATCCTGCTGAAACCTCAGAGATAATTTGTGAGACAGCTTGAGAAAGTATTGCAGATGGGCAAACGGAGGCACACTGGCCCTAACGCCATTGGCACTGGAGCGCATAGCCTTGGCACTCCTTGGAGCATCTTTGCAGCGAGGCAGCTCTCTCCCCTGAAGTCACAGGAGTGATGACCCGCTACTGGCTAAGCTGCTGACTTGTCCATCAATTGCTGAACAAGTGTGGACTCTGGAAAGACTGGCTCTCATTGGCACTCTATTGTGTTGTTAAGAGTAGATGACTTAGGTTTAGTTTGCTGAGGTTATACAAGAGAACAGCATGCTGGCATCAGGAGCTGGTTGTGGGTGCTTCTTTCCTGCAGAATTTTGGAGCACATCTGTGAGAGTGGGCGGGGGTCGTGCCTACACGTATTGGTGGTTCCCTTTGCTGGGCTCCCGCTATGGCTCCCTGCCAGGGAATGCGGATGGCTTTCCCTTTCCCTTCTTGGCTGCTCTAAGTCTAGAAAAGAATTGATTTTCCCTTCTATTAGTCAAATAATGAAAAAAGAAGAGACTGTTTTACCTTCCATTAATTTCTATCATATAAAAAAAAAGAACTGACTTTAGTATTTCTCAGTTATTAATGAGCTTAACACTGCACTACAGACCGAAAGTTGCCTTTTAAAAAGTTCTTCTAAGTGGACTATTTTGTATATATAACACATATATGCATGTACCACTCCCAGACACACAAAGAAACTCACATAGAATCTCAGTTT